TTCTAAAATATATTTGACATTAATTAAATTGTTTTTACTTTTCTAGTTGGAGCTGGAGGATTTTCAGAGGATGTCAAACAGAAAGTGGGAACGAGAACAAGGTCGCAAGGATGTAACAGAGGAAATGTCCGAAGATTTATCTGAAGGAGATGTATTAGGAGACGCATTAACGGTCGATAGCCCCATGAAAAAATTCCAACGCAACTTCTCCAACTTGGAAGTCTGGTCAGACAGTAATAAAGAAAAAAAGCTTTATATTGTTCTAATAAGGTGAAATATAATATAGAGCTCCAGTACTTAATCATTTCAGTACTGTCAATTGAATTTTGCATATCATGAGAGTGTTAAATATCCAATTATGCTCATATACACATATATAATGTTGAGATATATAATCAAATAACAATAATTTGATATTTTTTTTTTTTTTTTTCATGTACTTTTGGTAAATTTGGTGACTAAATAGTTTACATGGCCTTGTTCGTGGTGAAAATATGGAGCTTGGTCGGGATTCTGATACTGGTGGTCAGGTAATATACATATACATGTACATATACATATATATATATGCTCTACACAAAAATCCTTATTATATACGTCATGTGATGTCGTCATCTTTTTCTTTTTCTTTTTTAATTTATTTATGACAGATAAAATATGTGGTAGAGCTGGCAAAAGCCCTTGCCAAAACAGCAGGTGTGTACAGAGTGGATTTGCTGACTAGGCAAATCTCGTCAGCCGAAGTAGATTGGAGTTATGGTGAGCCAACAGAGATGCTTAATACAGGTCATCATGTGAGTTGTGAGGATAGTGAAGTAGGCGAAAGTAGTGGAGCTTACATTGTAAGAATACCCTTTGGTCCTTCAGACAAATACCTAAGAAAAGAGCTTCTATGGCCTTACATCCCAGAATTTGTGGATGGGGCATTATCTCACATTCTTAACATGTCAAAAGCTTTGGGAGAACAAATTGGTAAGGGAAAATTACCGGTTTGGCCCTACGTTATTCATGCCCATTATGCAGATGCTGGAGATAGTGCTGCTCTTCTATCAGCTGCTTTAAATGTCCCAATGGTTTTAACCGGACACTCTTTGGGAAGAAATAAGTTAGAACAGCTTCTTAAACAAGGAAGACAATCCAAACAGGACATTAATTCAACATACAGGATTATGAGGAGGATAGAAGGAGAAGAACTTTCTTTAGATGCTGCTGAGCTTGTTATCACGAGTACCAAACAAGAGATTGATGAGCAATGGGGACTATATGATGGGTTTGACGTTAAGCTAGAGAGAGTTTTGAGGGCTCGTGCTAGGCGTGGGGTCACTTGTCATGCTCGATTTATGCCTAGGATGGCCGTAAGTACTGTAGATCATATAAGTAAAACTATTTACAATTTTATTGTGCTGGAATTAATTTTTAATATGAATAAAATCTTTTTTTTTTTCAGGTTATTCCTCCAGGGATGGACTTTAGCAATGTTGTTGTTCAAGAAGATATTGGTGAGAATGATGGCGACCTTTCATCGCTAATCAATACTAATACTAATGAAGGGTCATCGCCTAAAGCAGTCCCTGCTATATGGTCTGAAGTAAGATCACATTTTATATAAAATTTCTTATATAATTAATTCCCATCACAAATGCATCCACAAAGTTATTTATGTGTGACTCTAATTTTTCTGCATTATTTTTCATAGATTATGCGTTTTCTGACAAATCCACACAAGCCGATGATTCTTGCATTATCGCGGCCCGATCCAAAAAAGAATCTGACGACTCTTATTAAAGCTTTTGGAGAATGTCGTCCACTACGAGAGCTAGCTAATCTTGTAAGTTGATTTAAAAGTCGATTTCGAACCTTTTTTTTTTTTTTTTTTTTNATCATGCTATTGCTACGCAACATTTATCGAACAAAATATTATAAATTGGTTGCAGACTCTTATAATGGGGAATAGGGATGATATAGATGAAATGTCCGGAGGAAATGCTAGTGTGCTAACGACTGTATTGAAGCTGATTGACAAATATGACCTCTATGGCCAAGTGGCTTTTCCTAAACATCACAAGCAAAACGATGTTCCTGAAATATACCGTTTGGCTGGCAAGACAAAGGTTTACTAAAAAACACTTGTTCTGTTTAATTTTCCATGCAAATTTTCGCATCTTTTGTATTTTCTCATCAGATGTTGAATTCAAATCTCTGCAGGGCGTCTTTATAAACCCAGCTTTTATCGAGCCTTTTGGACTCACTTTAATCGAGGTTCGTTTTTGTTTCAACTATAATGTATACATTTTTTGCTATCTCATAAGTATATATATATATATATTTTTTTTAATCTATGGTGTTTGCAATTGCAGGCTGCTGCTCATGGCTTACCAATAGTGGCAACTAAGAATGGTGGACCTGTCGATATTCATCGGGTAAAATTGTCTAT